AAGACATGCGGTACAGGTGAATTGGGTAGGCTAAATTGTCCGTAGTGTATGTGTGCGAATTAGAGTGTGTATGGGTGTTTTCCAGTGATGGGTTGCAGCTGGAAGGGCATCCGCTGTGTAAAACATATGCTGGATAAGTTGGTGGTTCATTCCGCTGTGGTGACCCCTGATTAATAAAAGGACTAAGCTGAAAAGAAAATGAATGAATGAATGAATGAATGAAATTAGCACAGCACAGGCAAATAATGTGCACAAATGGAGGTGGAGAGGAGGAATTCTTTAAACACATTTACAGAAGTAAATAAAAAAAACTGAATGATGGGCTCAAAAAACTTCTAATACTTTTAATTCTAATATTGAATTAAACATTGGTTAACATCAGTGACATATATTATTTCATCACAGGTTGTGCCTCACTTAATTTTATAGTTCTTTTTATTATTTGGCTTGTTTACTTTAATTTAATAAAGTTTGTAAAGCAAAGTTCTTAAAAGTTACAGCAAAAAGAAAATGTATATTAAGAGGTTCAGGGCTATGAGCCCAACTAAAGCAAACACTTTTCTCCATGATGGTGAATTAAGTCTATGTGGTCCACATTTGTTTTAAGATAACTGGGCCACATTTGCTATATCTCCTCTGGACCACTTTAGGCTCACAGCCACATTACCCAGAGCTAACTGTGCCAAATATTTGCCAAAAGTGGCCCACATTTTTTTTAAGATAACTGGGCCACATTTGCCATATATTCTCTGGGCCACTATAGGCTCAAATCCACATTAGCCAGAGCTTACTGTGCCGAATATTCGCCAAAAGTGGCCCACATATGTTTTAGGATAACTGGGCCACCTTTTCCAAATCATCTCTGGGCCACTATAGGCTAACGGCTACATTAGCCAGAGTTTACTGTGCTGAATATTTGCCAAATTGGTCCACATATGTTTTAAAATAACTGGGCCAATTTTTTAAATATTTTCTCTGGGCCACATTAGGCTCACGGCCGCATTAGCCAGAGCTTACTGTGCCAAATATTTGCCAAAAGTGGCCCATATATGTCTTAAGATAACTGGGCCACATTTGAACCTACAAGTGTGACCCACTTTAGGTTTAGACCCAGATTACCCTTAAATGACTATGCCACATTTTTCCAACTGCGGCCCACATTTGTCCTCCATCATTTAAGCCAAATGTATCATTTTGCACATGGGCAATATTAGGCTCACATTCAGATTACATTCTGCCATAAGTGCCAAATCCTTAAAATGGCCCATATATGAATTAGAATTTTTGGTCCCTCTTTGCCATCGTACAGATGGGCCACTTCAGCCTCTCATTCATTTGTCTGGGCCGAAGAAATACCACCAGTGCCGCATAACTGGCTAAAGTGGCCCACATTTGTATGCTATCTGGGTAAAGACAGTTGTGTTTGATCAAAGTGCAGGAAGGTAGATTTGCAGGAACAGGGTTGGGCACTAATTTATGGTACGGTTACCATGATGGTTCTTGAGTTGTCCTTTAAAGTAAGGTTTTTCCTCTTTGAAACAAAGCCACGCAATCATTTGTGAATCGATAGGGGATTAAAGTTGGTGAGGATAGGAGATGGAGTTGTGCAGATGAAACCACTAGGGGGCGTAATTGACCATGAATTCACCATCAGTTTTTTAGTTCACTGTGGGCAAGACAAACTACATCATGCCCAATAGTCTTTAAAGGCAGAGATGCCCAAACTCGGACCTAGAGGTATCCTGAAAGAGGTGTCCTGCCTCACACCTGGTAGGAACTTTGTGGTTAGAGTGGTTTCAAGAGATAGGACATGGTAAGGGATCAACGTTTATGTTGCTTGTTGACCATATTAATGTTATTTTTTATTACTATTATTGTTGTTGTTGTTGTTGTTGTTGTTGTTATTATTATTATTATTATTATTATTATTATTATTATTATTTAATATATTGGCTTGGCGAAGCAGTGGCGCAGTAAGTTGTGCTGTTGCCTCACAGCAAGAAGGTCGGTGGTTCGCTGGTTCGAGCCTCGGCTGGGTCAGTTGGTGTTTCTGTGTGGAGTTTGCATGTTCTCCCTGCATTTGTGTTGGTTTCCTCCGGGTGCTCCGGTTTCCCCCAAAGTCCAAAGACATGCGGTACAGGTGAATTGGGTAGGCTAAATTGTCCGTAGTGTATGAGTGTGTGTGTAAATGTGTGTGTTGTTTTTTCCCAGAGATGGATTGCGGCTGGAAGGGCATGCGCAGCGTAAAAACTTGCTGGATAAGTTGGCGGTTCATTCTGCTGTGGCGACCCCGGATTAATAAAAAGACTAAGCCGACAAGAAAATGAATAAATGAATATATTGACTTCCAAAAGGTCCTGATGGGTTGTTTTTAATCAGTATCTACACCGTTCAGAGGAAAAACGCGACCGAAGAGTTTTACATCATTCTGTATGCATTCTGGATCACTAAATGGGTTGAGCTATGATGCACAAAAAAGCATCATGCCTATTTTTGGGCATGTCATAATGAGACCCTGCCAACCTTACAGCATAAAGTTTTTTTTGTTTAGTGTTTTGTGCTTCATTGTGCTGTATAATGGTGTCCCTCTCCTGGAGGCAACAACAGCAAAACTTAATCTAAAAAAAATTCATGTTTAATTGATGAATCTGACATCGCCTTAAGGGCTTGAACTCCACCGAACATAGAAGTTACAGCTTAATAAGAGACATGCCATTTATAAAAGTTGCTTTCTGTGATGGAAAGAGGGTGGATGTTGATCAAAAAGCTCCAAAAAGTGTTTAGGGAATTCAGTTAATGATTACTGGAGTTATTTTACTTTCGTTTTCTAAAGATCCTAAATTTCTTTATGGGCACGTACTCTACAAAAAGGGACACAGACATGAAAGCTGCCTAAAACGCTTATAACCCTTGTCACAGTGAAGGCTCTTCAGGTCCATCAGGTGGCGCCATTGGCTGAAATTGACTCTGGACACATACGAGCACAGAAAACTTTATACTGTGATAGGAACACAGGTAGTCCTTGCAGCGTGTCTAAATAGTTTTATAAAGTATGTTTTTACTAATTAATTAAATAAATGCAGGGCAGTAAATAGGCCACAGTAAGCTGTATATAGGTTTGTCAAAATTTTAAATTATGTTAAAATGATAAAATATGTAAAGTAATAGTATATAATGCTAAATTATATAATATTAGATTGCAATATCTCCTCGTTTTATGGTCAACTTGCAAAATATTATAAATTTATTATTATTTTTTTAACTTATGCTCTTTTGAAAATGATGGCCAATGATGGTTCTTACATATGTAAAATCGGGTAGCAAAATAATGAATATTAGGCTACAGTAAAAAGAAAAAAGTTTTTAAGAATGTAGATGGAGGATAACAAGACAAACGAGCATATTTAAAGTTAAGGTAACTCGAACCATTTGAGGAAACCGATTGCAAAAACCATTTAAATTAAAAAACTAATCCTGATCAGTACTGTGAACTTAATATGAGTAAACGAGCACAGTAAATAAATGAAGAGAACTCAAACCAACTGAGTACTGTAAAACCCAATAAGTTAAGGCAACTCACCATTTGAGGAAGCCGGTTGCAACAAACCATTTGAGTAAAAAACAAATTAATCTACTGTGAACTTACTCTATTAAGGCTGAAGTAATGAGGTATTTAATTAGCTTATTACCTTCAACACTGCGTTCAAAACTCTTTTCAAATGAGTAGAATTAACTTTCAGTCAATTTTGAGTTAACTGCACTCCTTTCATTTGATAAAGTTGACTGTTGGGTTATACAGTGTGTAGTGTAAAATACAACGTAGTAAAGTTTGGTGAAATATGGGCTATGTATTAAATGTAGCCAATGAAAACAGTTTTTAAATAACAAATCACTAAATGTTCTCACACACACACACACACACACACAGACATATATATATATATATATATATATATATATATATATATATATATTTTTTAAACTGATAATTAACAGACAACCTGTGAAGTACCAGGATTTTCTGCCATGATGCATTATTTTTGGGCAGTTTTATTCATCTTCAGTGATGTAAGTTTGGCTGTTTTCTTATGCAATATTATTATAACTATTATTATTATTATTATTATTATTATTATTAGTAGTAGTACTAGTAGATTTGCTAAAGAACAAGCCCCTGTTGTCCATTACCTGCCTTAGTTAAACTCCCCTAGTAAGTGTAATAAACCAATTAAGCTTTTGAAACTTTAAGCTGAAAACGGGCAAAAAATCTTGCAAAATAACTGGGTGTAAAATATTATTTACTAGCAAAAATCTAATAAAAATATTTTATAATAAATTAGTTGTTTAAATGATACAAATACGATACAAATGTCTTCGCTCCGTTTAACTCAACTTGGGAAATAGGCTATATGAAGAGTTCAGATGCAAAAACCTCTAAATTACGTCTGAAATTTTCTTCTAAAATTAGCATTTTTATTAGGCTACCGTGTGTATGTTAAGTAATTTCATTTTTATGACAAAAAATAAGTTATTTTCATGGTCTTCAAAGTGAAAGAATTCAACACAAACAAAGCAGGCGTGGTAATGCTCATTTTCTATTGAAATTATTGACGGTTCTTAGAGGTCTTTGCATCCTCACATATAAAAAAGAAATTATTAAAATTCCATAAGGATGCAAGTCGAATGTTAAAGTTTTCTGTATGTTGACGTATCATATCATACCATATTAAGTGATCAAAACACGAATTTGAACAAAAGCGCGCGAAAAAAGGAAAGCTTTCTGTAATAAGACGTAGCTTTTAGCTTAGTTGGTGGCTTTTCAACCAAAACTTAGAGACTGAGTCCTCAGTAAATTCCGAGGGACATTTTTAACAGTCCACTGACAGCATTGGTGGTGGGCACGGAGACCCCCTCAGTATCCAAATTGCCGCCACTAGTCGCCCCCAGCGCCACACGTCACATCACGTCCGTACTTGAACTTGAATCCCATTCCATTCTTCAGAGGCAACCCCTACTGCCACACACACACACACACACACACACACACTGAGACAGGCGCAGGGTCCTCCCTGAGAGCAGCGTGAACGCGAGACGTAATTGCTCGGGTCCTGATTGATCTGGAGAGGAGGTGTTGTCTTCAGAGGTTGAGCCATTCCGCGCTCTGATGCCAAGCGCACATGGAGGACTGTGCCAAAGACTTCTCTCACCTGGCGAGCCCGCCGTCCACGGATCTTGGATTGCCTTCATAACAGGACAACAACCCTATTTATGTCCAAAAGAGCGAATATCCGCGTTTAAAGACGGGGTTAAACAAGCTGCCGCGGGTCGGAGTGATTTTTTTTCTTCTCTCGCGTCGCTGTCTCAGGTTAAGTTGGCACTCAGTTCAATCTTCACACCAGTCGAGCGCTATCAAGGCTGTTTCTAGAGACTGCGAGTGCTAGTTTGAAGCGCAGAGGGACTATAGTATAAGCGAACTTACACCGGACTGTGGAGGAAAAAAGTTTGGAGAGCTTCGGGAGCGCGCGCGCTGAGGGTCCGAGTGTCCGTGAGATGCTGCTGTAAATGCGGGGCGATGTCCCGACGGAAGCAAGGCAACCCACAGCATCTGTCCCTCACGCAGAGGGAGAACCTGCCGAGTGAGTACCAGACCCCCGTCACCTTTATCACACTGACCGCACACACACACACTCACACACACACACACACTCACTGACATTTACAGGAGGAACTAAGGTAAAGTTTCTTTCTTTCTTTCTTTCTTTCCTTCTTTCTTTCTTTCTTTCTTTCTTTCTTTCTTTCTTTCTTTCTTTCTTTCTTTCTTTCTTTCTTTTTTCTGTTCACTGTTTACACATATAACGCACATGTCTACTAAATACACTCAAATATATCTGACAAAATGAGCTGAAACAACACAATTCTTGAGTTTGTTGTGGGACAACTTGTTTTTTTTTCATGTTCATTCCACTTAAATCAATAAAAACTAATAAGTAGACTTAATTCCTTCATGTTGTCCCAACACAAATCAATTGTGTAGAACCCAGCATTTCTTACAGCCCCTTACTTGTGATCATTAGCTCTTAAAATCAGCTCATTTTGGAAAAATACTCATTGCATATTTATATATTTTATTTGCACAAAAATAAGTATTCTTTGCATATTTATGTATTCGAGTAAATATTTTCAGAAATTCAAAAATCTGAATATGATTATGTGAGCTATTCTTATGTAATCAGAGTGTGTGGTTATGTATTACATTTTATTTTTACATTTATTAATAAATCTTGCAGTTGGGGCCTGTTAGGTCTCATCGTTTCCCTGATGTCTTCTTGACATAAACATCAAATTCATAGCTTACAGTTTTTTTATGACTGTCTGTGAGAGACCCACGCGTTTATCTGCTCTGTTCCCATCAACACACACTCACCTATTTTCTATTATTGTGTTCCACACACATGCCAGCATACAGTGCATGTCTTATCAAGTCTAGCTTGGGTAGTTTATTTAAGAGGCCCAAACTTTACACTATACAATTTAAAAGTTGTTTATTTGTATTTAATTATTATTTCTATTTTAATACCTGTTTTAATGGAGGTCTTTGGTGCTGACTGGTCAAAACGACACACTCATTACATTTCTTTCATTTATCCTTTTATCTGAGATGCTTTACACACTCTTTCCACTATAAAACTTTACATAAAAATGCCAAGTACTTTAAAAACCTCCGTTAAATCATTACTAACACTGTTTAGGGTTTCTTTTTTTTTGCTGTACTCTTTATTTGCCTAAAAGCTTTTTTATTTTATCTCGCACAATAAAAAGAAGCACAAATGAGCTGAAAATGTAAACATCATGCAAATTGTTTACAAAAAAAAATAACATTTATAGCATGGCGCCAACGATAAGATCTTCACAAATGTTTATAACACTGAGTGTAGCCACAAACAATAAAAGGCCAATGAGTAATACTTTGCATATCACTGATTTATGAATTTAATTTGTGAAATAAACTCCTTCTATTTTTTTCTGTTAAATTTATCTCTTCTATACATTATTTACTTACAGACACATTTCTAGCAAATTATTAAATATACAAATTGTTTCGTTTTAGAATCTCTTTGCTGATTTATTCTGATTCTCACTGCGTTATTCATTTAGGTATTTACGGTTTCGATTGAGAATGTGGTCTCAATGCGAAGGCGTGCCTTTTCGAACATTTTCTCATTCGGTAGTGAGTAGATGGTCTTTACACGTCAAATTCTGCACCGACAATGATGCTGATGATGCCGGTTTTTAAAAAATGTGCAGACAGCAGACAAGAAAACGTGTTAAAGGAGTGGGTGGGAATTTCGGAGAGCCGGTGGCCTGTGAATTCAACCCACTGCCACTTTATTTCACATGCTGCGGCTTATTTATTCAAATCATGTCTATTTCTATAGCACTTTAAAAAATTTAAATGATGTAAAAACAGATTAACATAGAAGTTTTAGTTTAGTATTTAGCTGATATCTTTTTTTAACTTGCAGAATAAATGTTTTGCTAACACTATAGTTTAAATAACGATCAACTACTGGCTTATTATTAGGGTATGAACTGTTTATTAGCACTTATAAAGTATAATCTTATTTTATATCCCTAATACCTAAACCTAACCACCTTAATAGCTATTAATAATTAGATAATTGTTCTTAAACTTTTAGATAATTGTTTAATAATACCCAAAAATGTATCTTAAAATAAACTGTAACTACTTTTTCAAATGATTCACAATAAAAATCTACAATATCAAGCACATTACAGCAAAACCCGTCCAGTGTGAAAGTCTGCAAGTGTTATTGAGCAGAATAATCATCCTAAATACGTGTTTAGTTCAAACATAATTAGTCTGCCGGTGTGTGTGTGTGTGTGTTAGCTGGCATTTGTGCAGTTTACATTACACACACTATACACTTAATCGCATGTGTACAGAGTGTAAACGGACACTTTAAAAAAAAAAAAAAAGTGGACTCAGGTTTGCACGCCAACCTCCATTCCAGGCTTCACAAGCAAGATCACGCTCCTTCAGGGGTGTCTGTCTGCAGGGGGAAAACCGAAGTGCCCTCATTTGGCTATGTCAATGCTCTTGGCACAAAACATGTCAGTTAGCTGGAGGTTGCACAATAGAGAGATTCCGCCCTGAGCGACAGCACCTATAGATCACACTCCAAAGAGAGAGAAAGAAAAAAAAAAAAATAAAACCAAGGAACAGGAATATCAACATACTTCTCATCTTGAAACGAGCGCGGGGTGCACTCTCCGCCCGCATGTACATGCACAGGTGTGTGCATTAAAAGCAGACCTAAAATGGCAGGGCAAACGCAAGACAATGCGGGTTCTTGAGGAAGTCGCTTGCTTTCTGTATTACATGTGAACATGTATGCATGATTCATTGCATGAGTGTTTTGGATGTGTTGGAAATGTTAAACTGTGGGTGGGGGCCGTCCATTAGGACTCTTAAAATGTACAACGACTCTCGTTTGAATGTTGGCATGACGTTTGCGAGTGGCTGTGGTCACTTTGCTTGTGCGTCACGCTAATAAAACGCAAGGCATGACTAGCAGGTCTTTGATTATTTTAGATCTTAAGGGGTCAGATTAGCATTTTACGACTGGCCTACATCTTTAGGAGGGATTTTACAATGATGTCCAGCCTCTTTGTATGCTTTGAGAGAACTTACTTCACAGACTTGAGCGCTGTTTGATGGACGTGTGGTTAGCCGCTAATTTTGCGCATTTTGACCTGACTTGGCTAATGTATTTCTGCACAATATTGAAGCTAAGGTGTAAAAGTGAACGCTTGAAGCTGATAGGGGGTGCTGTAAGCCCTTTGTGAGAGGGAAAGTGAATGTGAGGGTGAATGTGTGTGTGTGTGTGTTTTCTTTGAGAATCTGATTACTGCCTTCAGGAAACGTGATAACTGTATTTATAATGGTTAATACCCCGAATTGCTATCTCTCCTCCCAAGTGTATCATTCCCACAACAGGCCCGCACTATCAATCTCTTATCATAAGCTAAAGGTAATTAATTCGATTTATTAGAGTATAGATTTCACCCTGGGGAGCGCTAACATGGACCCACTGCGCTCGGAGCTTCTAAACATTTCACATCCTTCCCTCTGACTAACTTTTGAAAACAACATTCAGCGGTTTATGTGTGTTTTAAGGATAAGGGCATCATGTGCGTTGCAGAATCGTGCGCATTTTTGGCTGCCACCCATCCAGGAGCAGTTGAAAGGCCTTAAATGAAGATAAGAATGATCTCTTTTTGCAAATGCACCTGTAATCACACACGAATCTCGTCGCTGCACGTGTTGGAGACGTTACAGTTCTGCAGACGTGTTTCACTCTGGATGCGTTTGGGCGCTGTCTGTCATCCGCTCTGCGTGCTTTTTTTAATTGCTATTATTTTAATTCAAGGTCATAACCATGAAAAAGGGTCTGACCTCGTACGACTCGTTATATAAATGAAGCATTAATCATTATTCACGATTACTCGAAGCAGTTGATCAACACGCAGCTTTTAAACAATGTTTTTGTTTACTCCTATTCTTTTATTAGCCTACTAATTATCTTAATTACTTTGGATTAATTACTGTTAAAATGCTCTTATTTTTCTTGAGTTCTTATCATGCCACTTTTTGTTGTTTGTGTCTTTGTTTGATTTTTTTTTTAAGCATGCGTGTTTGTTTTTAGGCTTACATTTTATTGTAAGCATAAAAATATATAGGACACGTACAGAAGCTGATGATTATGTTGTCCAGGATCATACGACAATGTTTCACAGAGCATATTATATTTCAGAGCAAAGCAATTAGGACGTTTTGTCCAAAGAAATTCACAGCTGCCATCAGAAATGATTTTTATTATTAGTTATCAAGAAATCGCAAACAGTAGTGTTTCATTTGACCTAATTACACACACTAGATTCAAAATAGATACACAATCCTCTACACAAAAGGACTTTCGCTGCCTGTTCAAATTACTTATTTAAAAATGAGTTGAAACAACACAACTCTTACGCTTTTTTTTTGGCGGGACAACTTAATTGTTTTATGTTCCATCAACTTAAATTTGTAAAAACGATGACGTTAACTTAATCGATTTGTGTTGGGACAACGTAAGGGAATTGTGTGGAACTTATTTATAGATTTTGTGCAGATTACACACTTTTTTTGTATAATACTGTAAATTATGTGAAATAATATTCATTCATTCATTCATTCATTCTTTTAAGCTACTTTATCTAAAGTTTGTTTGTTATTTATGTTTTTATGCTCGTGTTGACTTCTGGGATTCAGAATCTGACCCTATTAGTAAGTTTGTTTTTAGTGGTACATTTTATTATAAGCATAAAATATGTATAGAATACATACAGAAACTGTTGATCTTACAGTCAAGCCTCCTACGAGGATGTTTCACAAAATTCCTTTAGCTGCTTGTTCATTTAAAATGAGTTGAAGCAACACAATTCTTAATTTTTTTTGGGACAACTCAATTGTTTTATGTTTATTCCACTTAAATTAGTAAAAACTTCAAAAGTAAAAAGTTAACTTAATCTGTTTGAGTTGGGACAACATGAAGGAATTGTGTATACTCAGCCT